ATTTTATTATCTATCTTAAGAAAAGGTTGACAGGGTTTATGAGGTGACGTGTGATACAACGTTCAATGGTTTTTGCATTGATCTATGATATATGCTTGTAAGATTCGTATTTTACTAACTCAAAAAACTGTAACAATAATTTCTCCAGAACACCGCACACACGAAATTCGGGAAAACATTTTTATAAATTAGGTGTCAATTAAGAAAACATAATTAGGTGTTTGTAAAATATAGTGTAGGGTAAAGACTCAGCGAGCAAAAAATAAATATAATTTTGTTCTGTTCGTAAATTTGGTTTGGACCGTCAAAAGATTTATCTGGCCACGTCTTCACCGGTGTGTTTCTGGTGTTTTGGGGGTTTAGTCTGTAGCTTGTTAAACCTCGGACATAAAACATGTGTTCGACATAAAATCACAGCATTATATTCCCTGCTAATGTGTCTATTTTAAGCTGGCGTCAAGGCACAGACCCCCATGCTCTAGAACACACCCCCTACCCCCAACTTGACGGTTGATACTAAATTCCAACCTATCCCCCCCCCCCCCCCCCCCCGCCGTGCTGTATCCACCTCACGTCGTATCGATACCAAGACTCAAGCCTACTAAATCCGACTTCTTTATTCTTTTTTACACAAATATCGATACCGTATCTTCTCGCACTATTCGTGCTGTTGCCAAGGTGACCACAGATCCAGAGTTTACCCCGCCCCACTCGACTCTCCCCACGTTTTTGTATTTAAATAAAAGACAACGACGTTCGTGGAGGACGGTAGTGAAGATAAAGCCGGCATAACACCCGGTGCCGGCATAACACCCGGCAGCCGGCAAATGTAAACTGTTTGCTAAAGGTCTTTGTCAATCATGTTTGTTCTGTGAAAATAAAATAAACTTTACTGGATAGTTTAGTGAATCATACTTTTTTTCCCCGCTCGGCTTAAAACGTTCGCTTTGTCAAACTTAGAAAGTATTGAAATCTTAATCTTTATCCTTAACACATTAACACGTAAGTCTTATCGCGTATATTGAAATCTTTATCCCCAATCACTAATCCTTTCGTTTACGAAAGAGCATTTTATTGGTTTGTTATCGCACTGAAGAAGAAAAAAAACACGCACAAGTGGCAATGGCATTTGCACAAAAAAAAAAAAAAATCCACTTTTGTCAGAAACGTTAACTGTAAAAAATGGTGGCCAGATAAATTTAGAATAAAATGGCCAGATAAGTTTAAAGTAAAAAAAAGTATGCCCAGATATGCAGTAAAAATTGACAGATAAACTAAAAGTAAAAATAGTTGCCAGTTAAGATTACAATAAAATTTATGGCCAGTTAAGATTAGCGTAAACGTGTTGTCCAGATAAGGTTACATTACGATTTTTTGGCCAGATAATTTCATTGTTTAAATATTCGTCATGCAAGCTTGCATCTTGAAATTAGGAAATAGAATGCAATAAAAAATTTGGCCAGTTAAACTTAAATGCTGAACTTGTGGAGTTACTGATACAATTTGAGCCAGGTAGATTTACATGAACATTTGGCCAGTTAATCTTACAACTAAAGTTCCGAAGAACACATGCAGTTTATCAAGGCCTTTGGTCTGATAATTTATCTAACGTACATTTGTTTCCAGTGGCTTAGCCAGGATCGTCTCAAGGGGGGGGGGGGGGGGGTCCAATTTTTACCCGGGGACAAACTTTCGATTTGCACCCCCCTCAAACTTTCGATTTGCACCCCCTCATACTTTTTATATATATACCGAGGGGTCTATGGGGGGTTATGACCCCCCCTAACCCCCCCCCTGCCTACGCCACTGTCTGTTACATCAGACATTGCATGTGGTCGAGTCGGCTTTTGATCACCCTTCTATAACAAATCTAACGCTTAGTAGGTAGGGATTTGAACTCATGTCAATCGTTTGTATGTCCACCAACCAACTATCAGTGCGTCCATTTGTAACAATATGCGTTTCACTACGTTTGTTTGTGTTTTCATAGTATCTGTATAGGTGAGCAAAATGTGTGTTTGTAATGCTTGAATGTTTGTAAAAAGAATTTTTGCTTTCGAACCTGACGGCCCATGGGACAAGTGAAGTAGAGTTCATCTGTTTCTAGGATTGTGTGATCAGCACAATGCTCAACAGGATTTACTTTTCCTAAAGTCAGCCAGATACCCATTACAGGTGGGTGGACTCAGGAACGTTCTACTGACTTCAACCCGGATTCGAACTCGAGACTATCGGGTTAGAAGTCGTATGCGCTACCATTCGACCCTTATGCTGAGCACTTTTAAAATGTATGTACATATGTGAAACACATACTTGACATGTAAGCTTTTGTGGATATGTGTGTATTTTAGGTATCTACGTATGAATATGTATATTTATAAGAAAATACGTGTATTAAAGTAATAAGCTATGTGTGTGACCATCTGTATATATTAGTCACTTTATGTATATTATTATGCAATATATCTTTATGTTTGTAAGCTATGTTTATATAGGTGTAAGCCGTGTGTGAAGATGTAAGCCATATGTGAATATGTCTGTACATGTGTGAATGTGTGTATGTAAGCACATAATGGCGGCCCACACACGAAGAAACATTCGTCTTTACACCGCACTTCAAATGATTTCTCGCATTTGTCAAATCATAAACATTTACATTCAATGAATCAGGGGAAATAACTCAGTGCTAACTCCACATTTCATTCAGAACTTCCCACATAGCTCTGGTACATCCAGCATAAGAACAGTTTTATGGCTCTGGTTCTAGGTTTAAGGGTTAGCGTGTAGCAATAGTTTTTCTAATCTAGGGAAGTAGGACATTTGTAAGGATAATTTTGGTGACAGGAAAGATGCGCAACGGAACAATGCGCAAAGGAAAACTGCGCATTAAAAAGTTTTCCAGGACATTTTTTGTTTTCTAAAATCTAGCGTTTATAGACATTGATAAAGAATGACTACATGTAAATTGTAGCATAATAAAACATATTTCCACGAATTACCACATTTAAGTGTATTAATATAATTAATTTGTATATGCGAATATTTCTGTGTGCGCAGTTTTCCGTTGCGCAGTTTTACGATTGCGCATTTTTCTGGCAACCGAAAATTATATGTGATTTATATCAAAGAGTAGCAATTTTTTATATAGAAGCTCGATTTGGTCTCGATTTGCTGGTATAAGCTTAACTTTTAGTACTGTAAGCTAACTAATGTATTAGAACCATTGAACACTCTGAATGTAGTTTGGATAAAATATCATCTGGGGTTTTCCTAAATATCAACCCTGTCAGCTTTTGTTTTAAGCCTACCCCACCTACCATTTCCCTCTGTCTGTTAGTATAATTTCTCCTGCCCCGCATCACGTGATCTCGCCGGTTTAAAATTCCCCATTAAGTCTACGACAGTAATGACAACTTAGGCTGGTTAAATATTTTTTACCTTCTTGTGAAAACTGTTCGCACTGTCGTGAAACTATCGGAAAGTTCCAATGGTGACACGCGTACAATTAGTAAAGACGTATAGAAAACCACTTAGAGTAGCTGTTAGATGGTGTGAAGGGGGTGGGGAGGGAGTGATGTCTGTCAGTTAATTTTGAGACCCGGAGTTGTTCGGAGACTTTTGTCACTTACGGTCGTCGTTTGCAGTGAAAGGTTTAGTACTTAGTTTCTGATACTTAAGAAATCTGTTTATTTTTTTTCTAACCATTTTATTTACGATTTAAAAAAAAGAACAAAGAAGAAGCAGGCATCCATTTTAAAATAATAATTTTAGTTTAAGAAAACAAAAGATTCGATAACTACTTATGGATTACTTATGGATTACAAAATTTTACCTTTGAGAATGTTTTTTTTAATTCAACAGACTGCTATTTAAAAAAAATAAAAATAAATCAATGATTAGAAACAGCCAATACGTTCCCCCAAAACTTAAAATAAGAGTGTATGTGTCTCTGTCTGAGGGTGTGTGTGTATGTATGTGTGTATGTGTGATGTCACTTTGCGGAAGCGGAGGGTGCGGTCCGCACCGGGTGACACCATTTAAGGGTTGACAGCAGCATGAAAAATCTGCAACATTTTCCCGCAAACTATGGTTCATCCAGTTAACGATAACACAATAGTAGGGTATAGGGGAGACACCAAATGTAGTGTATGTGTGTTTCTGTGTGTGTGTGTCTGTGTGTGTGTGTGTCTGTGTGTGTGTGTGCCTGTGTGTGGAGAGAGGGCATTGTGTACCGCATAATTTCACAGAATCGACGTCTTGCACTATGTAGCGACCCGTGGATTTGTCACCCCTAGCGTCATGACGTCCCCGCGTCTTACGTCATGTCGTCTGTCAGTTCTTCTGTTTCTGGTCAGAGGTGACTTTGTTAAATGTCGAAAGTGACACGTCACGGAAGAGGGTTAAACATCACTCTATATTTATTCTTTATCGTAGTGAAGGGGTTAATATTTGATTCGTCTGTGAAACGTGGAGAAAAATTCAGTTTTTGAATTGTTCTTCTATAGATGTTATATCAATATCAAGCTACATTGGTGTTGTTAGTAAAAAGCCTCATATTTGATTTATTATTATATAGGTGTTTGCGTAAGAGTGGTCACATAGGATTCAGAATTTTATTTGCTTTTTCCTACATAAGGAGCCATATGAGTTGTTAGTCATCTTCTTCTTCGTTCTTAATTTTTAATATTTGAACATAAGTAGGTATTACGTGCCATATTTGTATGCGCCTATAAGCCGTTAACATCGATTTCAGCCTGCTTTTCTTTTTGGATTTCCTTTCATAGCCTTCTAAGAAGGGAATTTTGTTGTTTGATTTGGCGTTACCTCTCCTAGAAAAGTTGCTACAGAACCTCATCTTCCCGGGGGTTCGAACTTTACGATTTAGCAACCATGAGCTTTAGCGACTCGACCACATCGATACCTTAGTGTTTGAAGAGTTTAATGTTTGATTTGTTTTTTTCCATAGGAGTGTCCTTATGACTGGTGACTGGGAACGAGGCTATGCAAAGGGCACACTAGGAGCTCAGTCCCACAATGATGAGGAGCAACACACGCTGCGGCCCCGTGAACTGAAGTTTGTTTACACTTTCCCGCGCATGCGCTGACAACATCACGTGACATGATCAGCCGCGACATCAACAGCAAGAACAGCAGCGGCGCGGCTAACGTTTTTACCCTGTCCTTGCAATCCCCTGTGGTAAAGTATGACGGTGTGAGCATGGACCACGACGGCCCGCCCAAGGAACGAATCCACCCCACGCCAGAGAAGTTCATCGTCACCAATTCCAGCTTCATCGCCGCGCCTTCCGGAACCCCGCTGCGTGCGCTGCTCATATCCGGTCAGGGAAACGGTTCCTTCAATGTAGGAAACGGTTCCTTCAATGTCGGACTCAGTTCCAGCTTAGGTTCGAACCTCAGTCCAGCAACGCTAACATCTGGCACTACGCTTAGAACAGCCAACGGCGCGCTTCTTCTTCTGGCAGCACTACAAAGCACCCACTCTTCAACGGCTATGGGCAACAACCCCACCGGCACCAACGCAGCGGGTGTCAACAACAACAACAACAACAGCATCAACAACAACAGCATCAACAACAACAACCAGCTAAAACTGAACCCGTTTCAAAAAGTCGTTTTCACGGAACACGTCCACAAGTCTGAGACAACCAACACCGTCGACACCAGGCCGATTTCAAACACCACGCCAAGCGTCCTGGGTTCAAATCCGTCACAAGCAGAACCCACTACGTCATCGCCACATACCGGAAGTCTTTCTTCGACAAATGGCAGCAAGACCACCCCGAGCAGCTATATAAACACCACTGTCACCAGTAAATACGAGGAAGTGACAAGCAAAACCCATACGGTCGCAAAGCATCATGGTTTGCCAAAATTATCTTTTGTGCATAGCTCGAAGTACAGTAATACTACATCTAGCATTAACGGGAATTTAACATGTTCTATAAATAGTAACAATCGTCGTGATATAAGTAATGGGGTTAAAATACACATTTTCCCACGACATGGGGATTCCCCAGATGACAAGAAAAGCAGTGGATCTCAATGCAAGACAGCACTAGACCCCGCCGTGTCTGATTCTCAAACCTCGTCTTTCAACAGCGGCCTTACCCCCCGCCTGCCGAAATGTGATACCTACGAGGGGGCAGGCAAAGGACCCCGCCGTGAGAACATTAGAACCCCTGCGAATGAAATCAGTATTGTAGCCGGACTAGAAACCCAGAATGGTCTAGGCCATAAACCGCATTCAGGTGAAACCCAGACTAAAACCATGCCAAATCCGACACCAGTTTTTAATCGGGATTTCAAACTTGGGAATTCCCGAGAGTTAAATTGTGATTTTATCCAACGGGAAAATCCGAACCGTTCTTTAGTGGATAAGATGGATACGTCAGAGTGCTTATCCTGCACCACCACCGCAGCTACGCCCACCAGCATCACCATCACCACCAAGACCTCCACTCCAACTCCACATGTTGATCTCACGAAGACGGCGCGTACTTCAACTACCTCCCCCACCACCCGACCCCATCAGCACCATCAACACTTTCAACACCCCGACCCACCTCCACCTCCCCGCCACCTCAGCATTTCCGGTACCGCCGTGACGTCATCGCCGTCCACCTCGTCGCCTTCATCGTCGTTGTTCTCACCCTCCCACTTCTCGCTGTCCCGCTCCCCCCTCACCGTCTCTGTTCTTACCGAGGGGCTCGACATCCCCCTGCCATCCAGATCTTCAACCGTGGATACGCCACTACCATCCAGATCATCGAGCTTGGATACCCCCCTGCCATCTAGTTCTGCAAGTGTGGATACGCCCCTGCCGACAACCTCTGAAAATTCCATGTCCGACACTGAGATGTCGCCGCACCCTTTATCGTCCTCCACGGGAGCAGAAACAGGACGACGGCTGCGGGCTAGGAACTCCAGGTGAGAACTTTACCTGTAAACTACCTACTCCTAACCTTACCTGTAAACTACCTACTCCTAACCTTACCTGTAAACTACCTACTCCTAACCTTACCTGTAAACTACCTACTCCTAACCTTACTTGTAAACTACCTACTCCTAACCTTACCTGTAAACTACCTACTCCAACCTTACCTGTAAACTACCTACTCCTCTGTAAACTACTTACTTCTTACCTTACCTGTAAACTACCTACTCCTAACCTTACTTGTAAACTACCTACTCCTAACCTTACCTGTAAACTACCTACTCCTAACCTTACCTGTAAACTACCTACTCCTAACCTTCCTGTAAACTACCTACCCCAAATCTTACCCACACCTGTAAATCCACTACTTCTAACCGTATACCGATGCATAGTCTTATGCACGTGTAAACAATACATTTCTCTCACATACACATGTAAACAATACCTTTATGTTCCTTCAACACCTGCGAATTGTATGTTTATTCGCATTACACTTACAAGTTTTAATATTTTGCACAGCGTGATATTTGAAACAGTTTATTATCGTCACATTTAAATTGTTTATTCTGTATCCATACATTTTCTGAGACCTACTAACATGAGAATGCTTTTCAACTGACTATTCGTTATACTCATCCCTAAACTACAATCCCGTAGAGTCTGCATCTCTAAGTTATATCCTCTATCCTGTTACGTTTCTTAATTATATTCCTTAATTGATTTCTCACACACAAGATGGATACACAATTCTCTTCATAAAGAAATTGTAATAACAAATGATTACATTAATTAGTTGGTAGTTCTGTTATATTTATCTGAGGTTTTTTTTATTTTAATAATATTTTTAAAAAAATATTCACGATAAGCTTGCCAAGTTACTATCAGAATTAGGACTGAAAACTTTCGTTAATGTTTTAAAATTCATGTTAATTGGTTTTAGTTTTTGGAAAAATACATGTTATTACAGTTTTATTTCGTTTTGATTATTGTATTAAACTTTAGCATCCGTTGTTTGCCACGAATTATTTCCAAGTTTATGAAATACATTTTAGCTTCAACATATGTTATATTCACCTTGTATAATGTCAAGACAAAATTGACGTTATAACAAAAGAAAGGGAACAAACTCTACACAAAGTTGATACAAACTTCGCTAACAAACCCCAACCAAGATACGCATATCTCCCTACACCGTCACCTCTGCTACCATTTTGTAACGCAACAATCTATTACAAACGTGTTTACTTGCCATTCTCTGTCGCACAGCGAACTTCCGTTTCTTTATCCGATCCAAGTTTTTTTTATTTACCCTCCCCCTCTATATACCACTCAAACCGCCTTCACAGCGTGCAATAGGTACCTTTCTGTCAATCAATTTTATTTTATTTTTAGCAAGCGACACGCCAAGCACCGGTGTCGACATTTGCTAACCCTATCTCGACGCTACATTATAAATTAAAAACTTAAGGGGTAGAGGAGGGGGGGAGGGGAGGTAGACTGGGAGGGGGCTGAATGTGCCAACTTTTGAAAAAGTTTTTCACTGCTAAAAATTCATGTTACGGAAAAAAATTTTTAAACAAATGGCCGACGTCGTCAATGAATGCCGTGGAAGTGGTTTTATTTTTACTACATTCGATAAACGTTTCTGGGGTCAATCGGTGCGTGACGATTTGGTAACTATTTTAATTTTAGGACATCGTTCACCGTCAATATTGAACCTCCTGCAAACACATGGATCTCACAAAATTCCATTTTTTATGTAGCAACACACACACACACACACATACACACACACACACCCACGCACACCCACACCAACACACACACACACAAACACAAACACATACGCGCACTCATTTATATATATATATCTATCTATCTATATATATATATATATATATATTTATATATATATATATATACAAATAATTCCATTCAGTAATTATTCATTTCAAATTACCACTTGTCGAAGACAGAAGAGATTTCTTTACCCGTGGTTCAGCCGCCAATCAAAATGATTTCCTACCGAGTTTGCGCATGACAATCATTGCCACAAAAACATTTCCTTCACCACTCGTTTCACTACTTCCGTAACCCCCCCCCCCCCCCCCAACCCAACCGTCCCACTTCTCAACTTCCGGTATATCGAGATCCTCTTGAATCCTGCATAATTATGCAACTGCTATAATTTATTCGCGTAACATTAGCATTGTGCCATGTATTAATGACATATTATTATAAAAGGTAATGTCATGTAGTAGGCTTATGTACGCTTTGAATTTTATTCCTAAATATACTCAAGCCTCAATCGGTTTGCAATGTATGATTCGTATATACCTAAATATATATATATATATATATATATATATATATATATATATATATATATATATATATATATATATATATATATAATGTGTTGGCCTATATGTAGAAATGGGGGTATAGTGTGGAAGATATAGGGGGACTACATTATATAACACAATTTAAATGTAACGCAAATCGCCAGAGAAACGCAGGCTGTATCAGCTTATGTAACCAGCCGTGAATATTTTCTTATGGAAACATTTTCTTCCCCCCCCCCCCCCCGAGCAGCTGATCTGCCTCGTGAGATTGACAGCTACATAATTAAATTGGAGATTTCAGGAAGAGCCAGATTTTTTAAACCCTTGTTGCGGCCATCTTGGTGTGCATTCACGTTTGTTTAGTGCCTGTTGGTGCGAAGTTGAAAAGTTAAAAACAAACAAACTGCATGGATGTCAAGATGTCAGCTTACAAATAACATTGGTGCTGTTATTTTTGTTAGGTTACTTACTGCTTTTTTGGCGTTTATAAATCCATTATATATATATATATATATATATATATATATATATATATATATATATATATATATATATATATATATATATATATATATATATATAAAATATATTATATATATATATATATATATATATATAAAATATATATTTTATATATATATATATATATATATATATATATATATATATATATATATATATATATATATATATATATATATGTATGTATGTATATATATATGCACAACTATAATATACAGTACAGCCCTTAAGCGATATGGCTACGAAATATGATTTACCTTTGATATCTTCTCAATCGATGTTTGGGAGTTGCTATACAAACGTATTGTTTGACATTCCTTTGGACCATATCCACAAAGGTCAAGAGAGGGGTCATGGCGCATGGGCAGACCATGATCTCCGCATCTAATGTCCTGGTACCTGGTCCTAGGGTTCAACGACTTAGGGCTACGTCCATTGACTCCAGTGGATGAATTGAACCATATTTCAAAAATAATCTGTGACTTTATTTTAAACACATCTCATGATAAGGTACATGTTTAGGAGCTAACTCCCCGTGGAGTAGATAAAGTAGAGTAGACCAGGTCTCATGGATTGATTTTGTAAATGCTACAAGAAGTTTTGACGGTGAAGATGCTAGAACATTGTGATATCCTGGCTTGTTATAACTCGGATCTGAACTCCACTACTCGGCCACGCCGCCTCCATTTAAATATAGCTCTGACTCTAACTAGCCGTCTATATCCAGGAAAGGATTGACTCTTTAGCCGTCTATTGTTGCAGGTGATTACATCATTTCAACTGTCCATACATGTAGCAGTCTTATATAATTAATTATCTATCTGGACTTTAGCCATCTATAGTCATAGATGCTTTACTCTCTTGGCCGTGTAAAGTGCATTGATTTTCTCTGGCCGTCAATACCCAAAGTTTAACTCTCTACAGCCGTCCGTTTCAATAATTATTCTCTCTACTCTACAGCCGTCCATCTCATAAAATAAATCCTGAATACGAAACAAAACAATCGAACAAGGGCCGCAACCTTGACAGTCTGAGTACACAAAAAAACGGCCATTAATTAAAAACGAACTTTTCCAACAGCTATCCATCTCTTAATGAGAATCTAATAGCGTGACGTAATTGCAATTTATTTCTTCAATTCACGTAACCAGGCAACAAGGACGGCCTATATTTTGGGTTTTAAAGAAACTTTTTTTTGGAGTACGGCAGTTTTTACAAAGGTCGGACACAAAACGCTAGTCTGACAAACAAAACGCCAGCCTAACAAAAAGAAAACGCCAGTCCAACAGTAAAAACTAAAACCCGATTAAAAAAAAACACCGTCAAACTTATTGAATCAAACATCTCCTTGAGAAATCCCAACGTAAACCCCACCCAAAAGAAACCCCGCCTTGTTTATTTATTGTGTGACATCTGTCACTGTCCTGACACCCTACCCCACATCCGACACCCTCAAGTGGCCAGGTGCCGCCCGGGCTTCAAACCCCCGGGATTGTTTACAACGTGCTCAGTAGATACCACCCCCCGCCCGCCCGCCGTGGATTCGATGACGCACTCCAACTGTTACACGTTACCTACCTGGATATGGGCCATCTTGTAGTTGGGGGGCTCCTGCAGCACGGGCCATCTGGAGCCACACTCCACATCTTGGCCAATTTACGATCTGCGACTCATTATCCGGGCTCTCGATTGCCGTATTATACACTCCAACTCTCCCCTGTGAAGTTGGCTGTGGAAGATTACGAGTTCGCTCCCATCTTTTATTTTTTATTCCGAAAGGGGGACAACTCGCATCTTGTAGTGAAGGTTATTTCCCCTTGTATGTTGTCCTGTTGCTGATTGTTTATCGTACGGTGTGTTCCCAGTGATGGGAACCGGTTAGCAACCGTTAGTTTATTTCTCATTCTTTGTTGGCAACAGTCGACCGACATGTGGCCTACAACATGTGGGGGGGGGGGGGGGGGGGGGAGGTAGGTATGGGAGGAGATACACCAAGGGGGGTCCTTAACATAGCGCAGCGATGGAGGTGCAGGAAGTGCACATGTCACATGTTTAGGAAACTTCATTGTTGTAAATAGAGAATCGCACACGAAGTCATCGTTATATAGGCTATATATATATATATA